TTATAATGTATTAATCATTTGTCGGAACCGGAAGAATCGGACCACTACAACATATAGCTCCCATACAACTGATTGTTCAGATATGAGATTTTTCGTTATAACTTCTCCATTTATGCAGCTACGAACATGAAATTTCGCAGCACTTGCACACATTATCAACAGAATGCTTACAGTGAAAATTACAAAGATCGGGTCAGTATAACCTATAGCTCCCATACAACTGATTGTTCAGATATCAAATTTTTCGTTATAACTCCTCCATTTATAAAGCTGGGAACAGGAACTTCCGCACTGTTTTCAATAATTATCAACAGAAAACTTACAGTGAAAATTAAAAAGATCGGATAACTGTAACCTATAGCTCCCATACAACTGATTGTTCAGATATGAGATTTTTCGTTATAATTCATCCATTTATGTAGCTAGGACCATGAAATTTCGCGCTGCTGTCACTCATTATCAGCAGAAGACTTACAGTGAAAATAACGAAGATCGGGTCACTATAACCTGCAGCCCCCATACAACTGATTGTTCAGATATGAGGTCTTTTATCATATCTCCTCCATTTATGCAGCTAGGAACATGAAACTTCGCACCATTTTCACTCATTATTAACAGAATACTTACAGTGAAAATAACAAGGATCGGGTGACTACAACATATATCTTCCATACATCTGATTGTTCAGATATGGGATTTTACTGTAAAACTCCTTTATTTGAACAGCTAAAACCGATAAATTTCGTAAGATATTTTATAAATAATAATACAAAGTCTACTGAGAAAATCGTCAAAATCTATGCTGTATAAGCTTTATCTCCTATAGCACTGATTGTTCAGATACCAGTTTTTGCGATATATCTCCTTTATGTAGGAAACTAAACCCAATAAATTGTGTTACCGGTTTACATACCGATCACATAGTAGTGAAAATCACTTAGATTGGTGCCATATAAAGTATATCCTCCATACCTCTGATTGTTTAGAGGCGATTTTTTATATAAGTATGTAACTCCTCTACCGATGTATGCAGATGTATTCAAAATCAGTAATCTGTCAAACTAAAATTTGCAGATGTTCATGAAAGGTATGAAGCCTTCGGCATAGCCGAAGACAGCGCTGCTCTTACTTGTTTTTTTTATCAGTTAGCGAATTATTTTGATATCAGATACCAACGGAGTATTTATCCTCCAGTATTGAATATTCTGTACAACAACTATAACTAAAGAGGTACCTGTAAAAAGGCCACCTGCCCAAGTAGGCAAATATCCACACACACACACATTCTTAAATGCATACAACGCCACTTATAACTAACAATAATATTTTTACTAGAAAATAAATTACGTCGTGGGGACCCTGGGGCCTTTTTTTTAAGCTCGAAAAGTAGTTGTGGCTCAATGGCAATACCATTCCTAATTGGCGTCAGTAGGCGTTTTCCACCATTCCGAATACTATCCAGATTTTTTCACTTAAGTTGAAGGTATAAGAAACTGGAAAATAGCTAGATTAAGTGCGTCAAGTCAAAAGAAGAATATGTTGAAAAACAAAACTTTTTTGCAGAGATATCCCTTATTCAAAACTGCCCTATTATTCACTGCCGGTTTCACGAAATCAATTTAAGGGAAATTTCATTTGTTTTCAGTTTCCATATTAAATTTTTTTTCACTTAAATTGCTTTCGTGAAACTGGCCATTAGACATGTAAGTTTGCAGTTCAGTTAGTATTTATTACAGTCACACTTTGGCTATATTTCGCATTGTTGATTTTTGTTCATGTCATAATTTATTTTACAACCTTCATTAAATAAATAAGACGTCTTTGTTGTCATATTTAATTGTTTAATACGAATACATGTGGGAAATATTTACTTTGCACATTGAATTGACTTGTTTTGCTTACCTGTAAATTTAGCCACACCTTTGAAGTTTATGTCATCGATTATAGTAGGCTCCGAACGTCCTTTTGCATTCATAGCGAATATGATCATACGATATGTGGCAGTGGGATCGAGATTTTCGATAAGGAAGCTCACTGGTGGGTGCTGTGGAAAGGAAACAAAATAATCGTATATATATATATTTCCATATACATGTATGTACACACACATACATACGAGTATGTTCAAAAGTTTTATAAAAGTGTTTTAATGACCCAAAAAAGTGCCCTTTTGACTTCTTAAGCCAATGCTTACCTAATAGCGAACCCCTTCGAAAAAAGTGCAAGTATTGAATCCATTTTGAGGTATTAAAAAGCTAAAAAAAAGGTTGGAATTGCACGTTTCGCAATTTCAACAGCAAAACTTTTGCTGAACAACAAATTACAAAGCTGGCCAAAACTTTCGGATAATTTTAAAACATAAAAAAAAAATTTACAAAAATGCGAGTTGACAAAAACCCTTGAACTAAGGTGAAGTCTTTAACATATATAGATATGTAATTATATGTATGTAGGTATGTACATATTTAGTACGAGTACAAAATACGGAAGTTGGGGTGAAAATGCAAAAGTTGGCAGCGTCAAGTTGGCGCTGAGTTGATGCAGAAGTAAAAGAAATGCCAGCTCATATGGGCGTGTGTATACGTGTGAACGTATGCGGAGAGCTCGACTTAAGCGGATGCCAGCAACCAAAATTTTGTCGGAATTATTTTCCGTACGCGACTTTTTCGACATTTCTTTCATAGCGTTTTTTTTTTTTAGTTTGTACGTAACTTCTAAAGAAATTCAAAACGTTGTTATGGTGCACGGTAAGCGTAAAATTAAAGGTGCTGTTATACATACATATGACCAGTACATTGTTCGCATGCGTGTGTTTTTTGCAATATGTAAGAAAGTACTTATGTAAATATATACGCTATTCAGCAGAAAGTTGGGCAAAGAAAAATCGCAACAAGAATAATGAGAAAGGCATAAATTTGCGGAAGTTACAAGGATACCGCCATGAAATAAAAGGCCATATATGTATTTACATATTTATGCACATACTAACGAGTATGTATAAACATAAGTATGTTGGTTTATTTGTAAACATATTTATTTTTAATGAAAGAATAAACAAACACACCAAATACGAGAACGACAAAGCACAATTTGGACTTGCGAATGTGAATGCGACTTACAGCGGCATCATATCCGCCGGCGCTCAACCAGGACAGAGCTTGTCATATGAGCTGGGTTCCAGCAATGCATTCACACCAGAGATGGAAAAGTAGGTAAAATCGTACATTCTGCAGCCCTTTTATAATTTTCGAGTACATTTGTTATATGACAGACGAATCTGTCTGGCCACAACCTTAAGCATCTGAGAGCACGAGTTATGCTTGGTTCGATCCCTGACTGACCGTATGCTGGCTCCTAGGTAAACCCAGTCCGTTACGGCTTCGAAGTAATGGCTGTCAATAGTACTATGCATCCTTAGTTGGCTCGAAAGGAAATAAGTAAGTACGTCGAATAGACACGGACGCTTCAGCTCTGAAACTATTCAATTCGGAACCCGCTGGTGCTAGCAGAGGAAGGTGGGTGCGATGGAAAGACCAAGTTGAGAAGGACTTGGCTTCACCTGGCATTTCCAATTGGCGTCAAGAAGAAGAAGTCAAAACGCATTTGCAAATAAAACCAATAAGTGTATATTGTTTGCTTTATACAAATTACATAGAAGACCTACCAGCAGCTCAATTAGCCTCGAAACGTTCTTACAGTTTGACGTATTAGATGAAGGGAGTCTCAAAATCACGCATGGAAGATTCCCCTCGTAACAAACTTGTCGTGATGTGAAATATGTAACAAAATCTACATACCTACAAATTGTTTAGGTACACTCGTCTGCTGTTAGGTAAAATTTTTTTCCACAAATTAAGTAAAATTTGAGTTTCCACCCCAGATTAACACCGGAAACAGCCAGAGAGCTAAGCTAGACACTGAAACTCAGCAGCCATTTTGTATTTCTCTTGGCTGTTACATATTTTTCCGTAGGCAAAGGATTGTGATTTCTTAACGCAAACGAAAACATACAAGGCAACAAAAATCAAATCTCTTACAAAATAACAAGCGAAAGACAACTTGCCGCCGGCTGGTTTCTGTTTAGCATTTTCTGAATTTAAATTTTTTTAACCTTCTTTTGCTGTACACTCTTCGCCCACATAGCGCGGTGCAATGCAAATTAATGTGATTGCGTTCTCAAATATGCTTTTAGGATAATGAAGTGTTTGTGTCTGCTGTGCACAGACATATGGTGACATTTGTCCGAATACTATTACAATTTCAGAAAATGCCTATACTCATAAGTGCATACATACATATATGTAGTATGTGTTTGTATACATACGCCACCTATGCCTGTTTAGCTTTCCTTAATGAAATTAAAGCAATAAAGTCATGAAGGAAAGTACAACACTTCGCGTGTTAACAAATCGGTTGAAGTAGTCTGCGTAAAATAAACTTTAGCTTGACAAATTGGTAGAAAAGGACAGTTTAAAATAGTAGTATAGAGAAGTTCCTTGGAATAACTATTTAAGTATTTCTACTCCATCGGCTGCAGATTTTTCAGAAAAACGGAAAGCGAAAGATTCTATCACCTTTTGTTTCTTTGCTAGAGCTTCCAAAATATTGCAGAAAACGCGATTTTTTGACACTTTGATCTCGATTTTCTCTTCATATTTACATATTCGTAATCAGTATGAAAAAGTCTATCAAAAGCAGTTTTAACATTTGCCGCATCAAATATTTTTTTTTTCATTTTTGTTGGGCTGTGTTATTTTTATATTTGTACTTAGGAATTATTTTTTCACTTACCGGTAAACTCAAATTTCGCGCCAATCGTAAGTTATTCAATTCGACTAATTCTAGTATGAAACCTTGTGGTAGGCCACCATCAAAACCCTCCACACAGTCGACTTGTATTGAATCAGTTGATTGATTTGTGACTGTGCAATTTTGTAGTGGGAATGGACGACCTGCAATTAAAAACAAATATTTATATATAGATAGTTATTAATTTAAATGGATTATGCACAATTATTTAGGCTAGTAGTTAGTGGTGAAATGGAATACAATTTTTCAAGAACAGTGCAGCATATCTGGTGGACAAATTCTGTAGGTCTAATGCTAGGTAGAAAGAATGCAACCAACTCCATTGCACGAATAAAAGTTTAATTAATATGGGTTTAAATTTAATTAATATGGGTTAAATTTATTATTTTTCTGGAATTTTCTGATCGAAACTATCCCTGTAATCGCAATGGTTCGGTGCCTAAGGGCCAGTTTTTCAGTGCCAGTTTAAACTTAGATCATGTAAACTGCGTTCATATTTAACAGCTGACTGACATTTGATTGACTAATACTATTTTAAACCATCGCTTCATATCAGAAATTATGCACTTACTTGAGGCATCCTGCAAAAACTACACCAAAGTTGTCTAAACGGCAAAAGCCAAAGCGCTACAAGCCGTCGGGCTCTGTATGATTACCAAAATCATTTGTAAATAGCCATAGCCGCCTTCCCATATTTTTAGTAAAATAAATAATCCAAAGCTCAACTTTTATTATGCGTCCCCCAAAAAACTCCTATAAATTTTTACGGCAAAGCCGCAGCGCTATAAGCCGTAGGAACTCTGCAGGATTTATAACCTTACAGAGGTAGTATATTATGATTACCACTGGTCACAGTGTTGAGCCAAACACTTTTTAATTGAGTAAACTTTGCGTCAATTACTCCTGGTCCTCTTCTCTAACTGATAATAAAATAACATTTTCAAAATAATAATTTCCTTAATTGGAAGCCTTCTAAGGTAATTTTATCCAAATTTAAGGGATCTTCCAAAAAAAATGAAAAAAAAACGAGAAAATAATATAAAATGACGGAAAAGAAATTTTCTTCTATCAAACTTTCTTAAATCAGTTTGAATCTCTCAAGAATAGAATGCATGTATATCAAGGCACACTGAACAGGTAGTATCAGTAGAAAAGCTGATTTTATTTAATATATTTTTTTTTTCAAATTAATTGGTTTCTTAAGTGTCAAATATTTTTAACTTATTCTAAATTGTTCAAATCTATTTGCATGTAAAACCTTTTTCCATACAAAACAAACAATTGATTAGCCTTTTGGAACGTTAACCCAACTCAGCAGCACAAAAGCTAATTACTGGGCCTTGTAAAGAATAGATCAATGCTTCGAGAAGCAAACGAATTTACTAGGAAAAAAGTTGCATATATTTTTACTTTCTCCAATTTCGACATTTTATTTTATTTTTTGTTTTTGGTATTTCACATGGCATACTTTGATTTAAAAGACGGAAATCAAAACAGTTTTTGACACTTTCGATACCAAAAGCAACCACAAAATACACGTAAACCTGCTTTGGTGCATATTTATTTCTTCAAGCAAATTTACAGCAAAAGCAGAATATTTTCTCAGGCAACAGAAATAGAGAAAATTATTTCTTATGACTTTTCTTGAGAGCTTAAAACTAAGCTTAAACCTCAAAGACATAGTTCTGCAATGTTTTATATTTCTGGCAATGTAAATGAAACAAAAATCAGATGCTGATAATTAATAGTTACTTTAGGTAATTATAGTCATTACTTACCTGCTGCTACGATTTGAAAAACGCACGGACTCTTTTGCATGCCAATGGAATTTCTTCCCCAGCAAGATATTGTCCCATAGTCGAGGTCAGTGGACGGTGTATAGTTCAGTCGTGACATGCCAGTCTAAAAAGCAGAATATATAAATTTAGATACACATGTATGATGATAAAAATATACGTTTTTGTACAACAATAAAATATGAATCTGGACTGTTTCAAATGTAAGGCCTTTTTTTAGGGTTGTAAAACTTTAAATTTAAGTACGATTCTAATTATGAGACAATATAATCTCAAACTGAAGGAGAAGGACCAACGTTTCCACTACTGCACAGTGAGTTTTTATAGATGTGACGGTATCTCTTCCCCGCTGAGAAGACTCAGACTCAGACAGAAACTAGCTGGACACGAGAAACCATGCCGTGGAAAAAAATGTGAATTGGGGGTCGGACGTGTGCATCGTAGAGTATTATCACTCACACCGGTGAATGGATTTAATATGAGCAACTGGAACGCACTTTCAAGCGCAGACCCTTCACGAAAATGTCGTGTAGTGCCAGACTGGGCCAGGAAAATATCTTTGATCCACTTACCGGTAAATGTAGCTTGCATGATGAAAGTTCCGACAAAGGACTGAGGTTTTTCCACTTCGCCGCAGCTGGAAACGTGGTGGTAGTAAAAAGATCCACCATAGACGGCGTATTCGCCACTTGACTCTCAAACCTGCTCTTAGAGGAAGAGGAGGTGGCGCAATATTTATCGGTAATTATGTAAATCCGCTGAGGGATTAGTTAGATTTTAGCAAGCTCAAAAGAATAACTGATACTAGAAGAAATGTCGCGGCCATCAAGGGATCGCAACGTAAGAGAAGTGCAAATATGTGAGTACAAAGAGCTTGAAATGCTGGCAGAAAAGAAAAACACTAAAAAATTATCCCACTAACGGAAGGTTTCCAAAAAGACGCACTTTTGAAAAAAAACAATGGAGGTGATTTTATATATGGTTGGGTCCATTTGAATAGTATAACCTAGAGTAGTTTTTACATTTTAAATTGTAATGAGTGGGGGTTCGATATAATGAGGTGTGAATAACATTTTTAAATAGCGTGCAAAAGTATTTTTGCTGAATCAGTCTTTGCCCATTAATTATTTTTCGTCCTAATTGCAGGACCCAAACAATCCAGAGATAGTACTTTGTAGCTCATGTTGTGTCAATGCATCTCAGGCAACGCTAAGTTTGGGATTTACTTTCATTATTAAGGGTTTATTTGAATTCCTGGATATCGAGTTATGTTAAAGTACCTGGCATTTCTTGGAACTTTCAATTAATTGATATGGTAGAAGGAGGAATTAAAATATGTTTATGTACACATATGCACATATATTCTATATATCCTAACCTCTGGCTTAATACACATTTAAATTTTTCGAATTTCCAATTTCTGATTTATTTGTCATTTAGATTAGTATTTATGAGCGGTTCGGAGTTAAGTCGTACATCTCGTTCAGTGTTTAAAGTGCGTCGTGTCTGGCTTTGTTCAATCTCATTATTTGTCAGTTCTTCTCTGTTAAAGTGTATTTTTGTAATCTTGCTTTCAATGGAAATTATATAAAAAGTTTCTGCTAATTTATTCATTAGCAAACTTAGTAGAGTTGGAAAAGATTACTTCTTTTATTTTATTTTATTTTTGTGCGCTTGTTAATGAATGCCAACGCTATCAATTTGCAAAATTTGACACGCCCACTTTCCATTAGTTAGCAAGAGTTATTCACAGTAGAGGCAATACATACACCAATGAGTGAGTCAAGGATAACAAAAAAAAAACAAAAATGATAATAAAGCAGTGCGAATTGAAGTAAAGTGAATTAAACAACGAAGAGTATTCGCTAACACCCTTTAATGGAACACAATAGGGTGGCCATCACTGACACTGAATGTAAGGCCGCAAGCCAAAAGATGTGCACAATAAGTTGTAGTTAATGCAACGTAGTCTGAATGTGTGGAGACCAAGCTACAGCTAACCACTTGAGTACTTAGGTCGAGTTCAATTACATTGACTGAATGTGACTCCTTGCACAGCTATTCATTGCCGCCTTTACAACAATATATGTATGTATGTATGAAATTACCTCCGTTGAGTGTAGTCGCGCGGGCAATTCCGTTTGTTCGCCGGACGAGTTAAATGTCCATGTAAATGCCTCCGCTGGCGGTGATGAGTCCACTTCACATTTTAGCATCAGCGTTTCATGCTTCAGGGCACCGAGTAGCTCCTCATGATCGGTGGCACAAATGGGTGCAACTGCAAGAAACCGAAAAATAAATAAAAAAATTAAAAATATTGAACAAATGTGGAAAAACGAAAGTTGAAGAAGTGAATACGTAGGGGAGCATAAATGGACATTGGCATTTGTATGTTATCGCGTGGGTGTGTGCCTCTCATCTTTTGTTTGCCCAGACAAACCTGGGGGTGAGAGCAGCAAAAACAACCATGTAAACCAAGTAACCAAATGAGGCAAAAAAAAAAGAAAAATAAAGAACTGTGTGCAGCAAAATTGTTGCTTGCGGAAATTCAACGCTTCGGATAATGAAATGAATGCAGTGCTGCATTTACGGAAACCCAGCTTTCGACAGCACGCAACCCCTTTTTTTGCCATACTTCCATTTTTCGCCAACCTTTTTCATAATCCCATTTCACTTCTTTGAAACAACTGCTGCTTTTGTCTTTTTGCGTGTGCACCATTGGTTGCTATTTTTTCGCCTATGCTATGCTTTCATTATTTGGTTGTTTCAGCTTCGTTTTCGTGAACTCGCTTCTTTGTTTTTGTAAGTGTAATTAGCCTGAAAGTCGCCGCGTTGGCTTGAAATTGCAATTAAGTATCAAGTCAGCATGTGAAAGGCAACGGGCAGCAGGCGCAGAAAAAAGAGCATATCACAAACAACTGCAGCAGAAACAGGAAGCAGCCAGAAGGGAAGGCATTGCATTCGCTGGCGTTTGGTAGCAACTAAAAGAATATAGCGCAAGTTTTCGCTGGCACTTAATTTTTTTATGTTTTTCCTTGCAGTTTGCGCATTTTTTTCATTTCTCTTCTTTGTTGTTTTTATCTTCCGACATTGCTGAAAATGCAATTATTTACGTACGTCGAATCTGGCGTTGGATTTTTTAATGCGCCTTTAAAGTTTATAAGTGCGTTATAAATATTTTAATGTGAAATAAACTGCACGTCTTCTTCTCTGTGACTGTGAAATGTCTTATGCAGCACCCATCAAAGGACTTCAAATAAATGGTGAATACGAAAGTCTGGTGCCGAGTGAATGTTAAATCGTGATGAAAAGTGGAATAACTAGGAAAACTTTGGAAAAAACTTCTTTGAAATGACAGCATGTTAAGCCAGTTAAATAAAGTATAAAAAATGAATTAATGTAATTAGTTTATTGGAAAATTTAAGTAACAAGGCACACCGAAACAAACGCGATCAGCCGATGAACAAAATGCCCTGCCAACGTTTTCTATTGCGGAAGTTACTAATTTGACACGACATTTCTGTGAATATCATCGCCCAAGATATCCCTACTTCTTTTTTGAATTCTTATCCGCTCTCGGGAAGAACTGTTCCACCAAGACATCACATTTTTATGATACAAAGGCGATACAGCAATTAGGAACTATTTCGATAGGAATGACAGTAACTTGTGTCGCAAGGAGACGCCATTTTCATCCTTCTTTCCGATCAGATTACTAGCTCAAACGCACCTGCACTCAGAAAAAGGTTTAGTTATAATAACCAAGATTTGGTTATAGTGACCAAGTGGCATAGTTGGATATGGCGAAATAAATATCTAGTTCACGAAAGTCTGCAATTTACTTGAGCCTTCTAGTTGGGACAAATGTATATTTGTTAATAATTACAAAACGACTACCTTGAGTGGACAATATTGTTAGTTGAATAAAATCATTGTTGAGCAAATATAAACAATGCTTTGGTTGATACAAGTTTTCAGTTAATTTTATGAACTTGCTGTAGACGTGAATCAGCTAACCGTTTATTATTGGAAAAAAGTTTCAGTTTGACACAAATAAAAATTTACTCGATGGTTGTTGTGTTTACTTCTTTTATTTGCATATATTAAGCATAAAATATACAAACATATTTACATAAATAATTACTAGTGTAAATAATACATATGTATATGGTGGTAAGAAATTCCTAAAAAGAAACGATTAAACAGGAATAGTCGTGCGGAAACCCAGGTCAATATCTGCTGGAAGTGCTGGTTTAAGTATACTGCTTTGCTTTTTCCTTGGCTAAATAGATACTTTCTAATTATAATTCACATGAATTATATATCCACTGAGAAACGCCGGTTGGCATCAAACTTTATATTTTTAAATAACCATACCCGCACCGAAACAACTCGCGGCGATGGCAAAACTGAAACTGAGACAAACAAGCCTGGGCATGTCATAGCACACACTTTTTTTTTCTCTACCCAGCGCAGTGATCGACATGCCATAGCTTACTGAGCGCTCTGTAACCACACGCGTGTTTCACCAGTATACGAACAGCGGTAGCGGAGCAATGATTTCCACGCACACAGTCGCATTCATTGAATCGTTTTTATGCAATGGTCGGCATACTAGCGCATTCAAACGATTCAATAAGTGGGACTGTGTGCATTGCTTAGCTGGCGCTCTTCGTATGTGAAACACACATGAGCTCAGAGAGCGCTGATCATTATTTAGGGGGTGCTCATAAGCATGAATATATTCCGCTCTCAAACCAAATCGATCAACGAAGATTTGGTAACTATGACTTATCCATGTGTTGAAAGAAAGCTTATCTTAATGGCATCCTTTTATGAACCATACTTTAAGTTGAATGGAATTTGTAGAAATATGCTTCAAAAAAATATTTATTAGTATTTACCAAACCCTTCAACTAAATTAACGATTTGGTACAACCTAGATGAATATTAGAAGCTTTAATATATTTAGTTATAATTACCAACCCATGGTAATAGTTCCCAATCCTTGGTCACAGTTCCCAAATATTGTCAAAATTCGGGAACTAAATATCTTTAGTTGTCGAAACTAATCCTTTTTCTCAGTGTGTGGTAAAAAGGCAATCAAACAACGCCACTATTAAAATTAAAAAAATTATTATACCCGAGCGCACTTGTGCACAAGGGTATTATAACTTTGTTCAC